GTGCATGTTCACTCCCGATGACCAGATGTACGGGAAGAGGAGTTTCTTCCACGAGGGCCCTGGCGTCCATCGTGAAGAGGAGATGATGGAGACGCTGCAAACTGGGCGAAAGTTAGGAAGTTAAGGTGTTCAATCTTGTTTCATCACTTCAACTCGTCCAGTTCTGTGATTCGGGCAGCCTATGAGGGGGGCGGAAGGTAGATTCAGGTAGATAGAACGTGGAAAAAGACTAGGGAAAAATCGTCTGAAGAACTGTTCTTTCGAGATACCAGCATGTAATGCTGCCTCTCTCTCTATATATATATAACTATAAATATATATATTATATATATTGCACCAATTGCAGAGCCTTAAGGCAGCAGGCTAAATTTGAGTGTCAAAGATGCTGAGGCAAAGAGATGGCTTTAGTCGAAGACAGGCGGAATTGGCCTTGACAGAGGTTCAGTGGGCCAGTCCAGAAGCAGCACTTGACATCTTGGATTTGCTCGGCCGGGGTGAGACAATGCATCAGTTGGGTGGGGTCTTCTCGTGTTGCTCATTGATTCCCAAATAGTCTAGTGTTTGCCTCGGCATACGACAGTCTGTCATAGGGTGCTCCTCCAGATTTGGAGCCACAGACGCATCCCACAATTTCGTACATGCTGATGTTTCATGTTGTCATGTTTGGGTTAGGCTGTACTTGGCAGCAAACGTGGAAACAGATCGAAACAGATCTTCTTGTGGTGTGGCAACTCCATTGATGTGTCATCATATGTGTGTTTTTTTCTCAGGGCTTTGCTAGCTGAACATTTTCCAAGCATGACGTGCAATATATTGGTGGCACGCCTTCCGTCTTCTTTGTTCTCACTCGCAATTGGCAGTTTATTTATGGAAGAATTACGCGATCTTTTCACATGTTCTTGTTGCCAGGGCCAGGGACACTTTTCTAGCGATTTTTGATCTTTCGGTCATTTTTGTTCCCCATGGTGGTGTTTTTTTGCTCCTCAATTCAAGCAGCACTCAGGACGTGCTTCTGGACGTGAAACTTCAGCTCTCCTCTGCTGGCAAACCCTTAGACCTTGGAGTAAATGCTCCAACGCTGAGGGCTGTGGAGGAAGAATGATGTCGCCCCATGACGGCGCAGCGAAGTGAACAAAATGGCCCGTAATCCGCGCCTGGTTCAGGCCGCCAGTCAGAGGCCACAGTAAGAGCCTACCTCTCAGGCCTGGCGGCCTTTGCGACACCGGATGAAGAACACCGCAGCTCAGGAGGTTTGAGAACCAAGAAATGTGGAGCACCAACACCCCAATCAATGTGGAGGAGAGATCCCAAGGACCAAACTATTTTCATGAGGAGAGAGCCCAAAGATACATAGATAGATACCGTTAATACCCTTCAACTAATGAGGAGATTCCCCAATGGCCCAATGATGTTTCCTTTTTTCCAAAAACTAAATCTCTCCATGAGAAGAGATCCCAAAGACTCCATCTTTTCCTCATGTCAATCAGGACCTTTCAGAACGCTTCATCTTGACCTTGCATCATGGTCTTGATTTCTGCACCACTTTCATGAAGAGGAATCCCAAAGACCAAATCTCCTCATGAAGAGGCGTCCCAAAGAGTACATGTCTTCGAGAGATCGAAAGACCAAACCTCTTCAGAACCGGGGGATAGGACCAGGGTGGAATAGGAGCAGAGATTTCTGAGAGACGAGGTGGTTAGCCTTGAAGGAAAACTGGGCCGAAAGAATTGAATCTAGTTTCTGGCACCCAAATTTCAAAACTACCGGTTTTTGCAAGGCGGTGAGCTGCAGCCTTGCAGGAACAAACTGTGCCAATGGAATTCAGGGTGGACAAACAAATCTTGTTCCTGCATGGATTGCCAGCAATTTCTGGCGCAGGCATCAGTTCCAGTTGGATTTTCCTTGAACATCCTTCCACCATTTCCAAGAGGAATGCATTCAAATTTTGAAACATCAAAGAACAACTAACGATTAACATTATTATATAACTATTAAAAGCAGAACAAATGAACCAATTCTGGTTGGTGAACTCGCGGGGCACCGTGTGGGTGTCACTGAGGCTGGCTTCGTCGATGCGGATGCTGATCAAGCGACTGGGACGGCCGAGAGCGACTGAGCCGACCATCGCCGACCCAACGGCCGAGCGGAGGATGACCCATGACCCATCATGAGCCAGGAGGTCATGGGTCATGGAGTATTGCTAAGATGGAGTATGGTAACATTTTTCCATACTCCATGACCTCCTGACCCATTTTTCCGGGCAGATGGAGTATGGTAAGATTGTATGCTGGAAGGCTGGTCTTGGGCATCCCGCTGGTTTGGGCGTAGGTTCAGTTGAACATGTTGAATTCGCTTTTGTGACCACGTACGTGATGCCGCACTGCATTTTGTTATATTTCGTTCACAACTAAAATAACTAAAAATAGCCGATAGTGCATCCACCGCTTAGGCTTGTATATAATATCTTGAAATTTTATTTTTGCATGCACTGTCCCAAAGCTGCGTTACACTCCGTGAAAGTTGGCCAGCTAATTACCTCGGTTCAGACCAGTGTTTTCATGAGTGAAGGCGACCAGGTGGACGGCTTTCCAGATGGTCTCTGCGGAGACTGTGACCAATCAAGGCAGCCTGATGGTTGCGCGTCTTCCTGTGAGAGTACATGTATATAAACGTTTCGGAAAGGTTGGTTGACTACCTGCGGGCAGGTGCTGGGGGAGCCCAATCAAAAGCGGTTGGGCTTTCATGTGTTCAGTTTTTTTGAACAGCCACTGCGTCCTGAATCAAGCCTTGTGCTTTGGAGTTGCGCTTTTGGACCAGCCCTGTCAGCAATCGAGCCCCATTTGGCTGGCTCATCCTGACTGCAACGTCAGTGTTTCAACATCTCACCAGTAATTCGAGGACGAGTCTTTGGCAAGCTTGAGCCAGAGCTTTCTTGACATTTTGGGTCTTTGGTGCATGGTAGCGCGGTTCAATTCAGCATCGGAAAGTCGAAGCTAAAGGGATTACCAATAGGGAAGAGGTGGCAGCTGGCAGAGCTGGGTGTCCTTAGGGTCCTTCTCGTCAACAGCGTGAAGTGATGCAAGATATCTAAGTTGGCCCCTTTGTTGTCCATGTCACGGCATAGATAGAGAGGGTCAGAGGCACTTTGGATTGACAGCTATGGATGCTATGGCGTTCGTCCTGGTTTCGAAAGCTGAAGGGTGTGCTCAGGCTCAGGAGCTCTGAAAAGGCTCGGATACACGTGTAGATACAACCGGCAGGCACAGGTGGACTTCCCCTGGCTTGTTGATCACATCATTTGAAGTGATTTATTTGTTTGTCAACCGATTTCAACGTTTGGACACAGGGAGTGACATTGTCAAGACGAGAGTGACATGCTACGATCCCTTGGCCTTTCGTCTCGGACGACTCTCGGAGGCGCGACGTCTCGACCCCCCATGACCGACAGTCAATTCGAAAGGCAGCTCATGGTCCACCGGTGGCCCTGATGGGACACGACCACTTCCGACCCACGGCAACCTTCACTTTCGAACAACACGACGAGTCGCCGGTGTGTGGGTGCAACCACAGGAACCGACCCTCCTTCACGCGCTGGTGTAGGCAGGAGGTCATTTGGTTGGCACCTGCTAGCAGCTCCCGTGAAAATGTGGGTGCACCATATTATTGATAGATTCTGATAGATGTTGAATGGAAGAATGGCGAATCAGGAGGCCAAAAAGGTGACAATAGATAAGAACAGATGAGCTATTCTTGTACAAAAGCAATCAGAGCTGCCTCCCTGTGGCCGAATGGAGAACTCCGCGTATTTCCCAGAATTCCGGACTCCGCTAGGGCAAAATGGTCTGGTCTGTTCTGTTCTGTTTATTGATTCAATGGATTTGGATTGCGTCAGCTGTACTGTGCAGATATCAAGGTGCGCAATGTGTGCAATGAAGTTCAACACAGCAGCTGAGTGGTGGTGTACCCGCTATTCACGTCCTTACAGTGTTTCAAAAACGACGCAACCAACAACAATCCTTCTGCTGCCAGTTTGGCAGTTGTACCATGCAAGTTACGAGACTTTGCGTGGACTGTGTGTTTCAAGACATGCTAGGCACTGCTTACCAAGCTGTGCCAATTTGGCCGTTGTTGAACGATGGGGAGTGCACAAAGACTCAATAGAGGATTCTCAGTGGTGTTCTCTAGTCGCACATGCACTTTGGAAGGGTTCATCACTGTAGTTGTTGCACTCCAATCTGCTCAGTGCCCCTCCTTAGTTTGAGTGGGCGAGCTGTTGTCGCTGTGACAGGCGATTGCTTGGAGCATCGCACAACTTGCCGAGATGGGCCATGTGTATTTCTTTTCGGCCGCATGTGTTTGAATGAGATGCTGGAAATTTCTGGAGAACACGCAACATGCACAGCAATGGGTGCTGGCTCTTCGGAGCTTCCAAAAAGGCACCCATCTCCAGAGCTGGACCTGCAGCCCAAACCTGAGAAGAACCTGGGCGAATCGAGTTCGTTTCTTTTCAATGAAGACGAGAAACAGGGTTCAATATGGTTCAATGGCACACTGGTGATGGTAATCCCTTGGAAATCGAGTTCATCCTTTCACAATTCTTTTTGGATCTTTTTGGCAATTCTTTCATGCCCAGATGATCCCAGATGTTCTAGGGGCGTCACTTGGGCACACGCTTGAAGCTTCAAGGCATGCCCACAAACACTGTGCTCGTCCCTCATCACTCCCTGCTTTGGGAGATTGTCACCATACCTGAGCTCGAAAAACATGAGCCGAACGCGTCCGTCGGCCGTGCCGCCGTGCCGCCGGAACGCCAGTTTTCGTTGGAGTCGGCACAGCAACGACGTGCTCCGTCCGTTGGAGTCAGTGCAGAAATTCCCGGTGTCCTCCTGTTTGGGGGCATATGTCATCATGTGTCACATGTCCAAAGAATGTAAAATGAGAGAGTGCCACATCCAAGTAGATTTATCTATATTAGACATGTTGGCAACCGTTCACGCCACCATGAGCCATGGCTGTTGTTTCACCATGAGCCCATAACTGTGTGACTCGCCATGACTGGTACGATTCGCACGCGCAGCCAGCCATCGGTGGTGGCCAGCCATGAAGAATCAGAGCCTCGCCGACAGCAATGTGTGAGGCCCCTGGCCGCCCTGGCCACCCTGGCTGCCGCCCCATGAGCGCCATTCTAATAGCGTCCTTGCTGCTAGTAGCGATGCCCTTTGTTACTAGTAGCTTCTAGAGGAAGGCCAGGAGCTAGTTACTAGTAGCGTCCTTGCTACTAGTAGCGATGCGTTGCACTTGACTTTGGAGGCTTAAACCTAGACCTCGAAAACACTCACCATTCTAGGAAGGAGTGTACCTATTGACCACAATAATTGGTCCTGAATGTTTCAGAGAGGTCGAATCCCAGGGTCTGTGGATGCCCAGGATCCCAAACCGCATCACTGCTCTGGGCATGTTCGGGGGATCTTGGCCACACTGCTGGGAGCTTTGAGCCTGGCAATTGCAGCACTCTTGGCACCTGGGCAGGCACAGACTCAGAGAGAGGTGTGTTTGGGTCAAAGGTGAGAATGTGCTTGTCAAGCAATTCCTGACAGGTTGCGCAAGAGTGACCATATCTATCTACCATATCTCTATATCAATAGTCGAGCAGCACACAACTGCACACTGATTTTGGGGTGTGACTAGTGTTGCGCCAGTGCTGGAACCAACACGAATCTATATAAACTTAATGTAGCTAATTGTAGCTAATGTTCCAGAGTGGTACGTGGGGCTGGTATTTCTTTTCCTGGGATAACACTAGCGTTGCTTGTTGACTCAGGTCAAAGTGTGCGCGAAGTCCTTGCACCTTGGCCGAAGCGCCGACATGGCTCCAGCAGTGTTCAGTCATAGGCAATTTTGGTTTGGCAGCTTTTCTCGCGCGTCTCGCGCGTCTTGGACTAGCATGACCCTGAGACAGCCGGGCTGAGGACACCATTCTCAGGGTCCATGTTAGTTTTCAGGAGTGTACCAATTGAAAGCATCTGGGAAAGACGCCAACCAGCAAATGAGAGGGTGTGTCCAACTGTGTCCCACACTCATTCTTTTATGCCATTTCCCTTTGACCACTTGCGACTGTACCACGTTCTTCCAGGCCAGGGTTGCTGCATGCTCCGCTCGACACACCGTTTGACCCGCTTTGGGATAGGACCCGCGCGGGTCGAGGAGCACACTAGACATCCTATGTGGACGCGCAATCTTGCAGACCTGCTTTGCCACCTACCCGCAGAGGAGCAGACTTTGTGTGTTTGTTTACTTTTGCTCCGGATGGGCAGCCTGGAGGATATAACGGTAATAGACCGCAACTTTCAAAGGTTTGGTGACACCTTCCCGAGCGCAAGATGTCGTATGACCTGTCAAGCTGGTAGTGCCTAATAGTTGTGGCTCAGTGTTCATATTCATGGCCCCAGCTTGGCTCCACCAAAATCAGATGTGTCCTGCTCCCCTTTTGAAAGAACCGTTTCAGCGCCGAGCTGGAATCTTCGCTGGATGACACGAGATGGACACCCCATGAGCTGCGTCGATGGTTTGAAGACGCTGAGGCTTTGCTCGAAGAATCATCATAGAAAGAATGATAGATGGATCAGCAGGTATGCTAGATTGTATGTTTTTGGAACTGACAACCATTGCAGGTATGTGATGTGTAGATCCTTAGGGCTGTGATTGCATGGTTCTGGCCGGATCAGAGATTGATTGCAATAAAACACAGATTCAGGAACATTTAGGAACAAGGTTTTGGACGAACCGTGGCACACTTGGACGCCAAATGATATATCCACCGCGCAGCGCCCTGCCAACACGGCTGTTGGATTTCTGGCACAGCAGGATTCATGGTACGCAAAGGGTTTGCAACGAACGGGATCGGCTTGTTTGAAGCTGCTTCGATTCAGCACGGATGTGTCCACACGATCGCATCCAACGGGATTGCCATTGTCCAGAATTGACGCTGGCGGAAAAAGAACCAAACGAACCAATGAGGAAGGCTGAACGAACTTCGAACGAACTTGGAACCTCCTTGCGAAAGTAGATCACACTCATCGTGCTGCACCTTTGTCCGCACCAACGTGGTTCCTGTGCGCAAGCTCCGTTCGGTCGAACTGTGCGTTCGAGGTTGGTGTGGTCTTCCTGACCCGCTGCGAGTCTCCTTGGGGCCCGCGAAACTTGCGTGGCTGGTTGAGTCTTCGGGGCTTCCTGGGCTGCTGCGCCGTCGTTTTCTACTTCATGGGGATCATTGCGTTGCCTTTGTCCGAGGCTTGGCATTCAGTGCAGGTGGTGAAACTACCCCAGGCAAGAAGATCAAAGTGCTAGTCAGTGAGCCTTAGACGCCCGTATTTTTTTCCAGTAATGTTGCATGCTGTTAGTTAAGCATGGACGCATAGTGTACTCTGGGAAGGAAGCAGGAATACAATCAAAGACTATGAGTCTATGAGTGTATACAAGTACGCCTAGGATTCATGGTTTGCTCTCAAGCACTTTGAGGGGGCACCAAGTTCCCTGGAAAGAATCCGAAAGTGACTTTATGCATTTTAGAAGCTTTGTCATCGGTTTTGGCGATTCGATGACAGAGATATCATAGCATAAGGAGACTTCGACAGATCATCCCAATGGGTTGGTTGGTGGGCACGTATCGGCATGTCCTGGCACGAAAAAAGCACTACTTTGCTTACGTACCTTGGATGAGTACTACTCTTTGCTTGTAACTTTATGTATGTAAATTGTGGTGTTATTGGTCACATTTACTTGTCCTTTGCCTAAGTACTACTCTTGGACAGTCCGGGACACCTGTGGCCAAGCTAGGAACGGGGAATGAATAAAACTTCGGGCATGTGTTTCCTTCAGGTGAGCGGTTGCTGTGAGACGACAGTATGTTCCGGCCCGCACGGTGTCTCAAACACTTGCAACGCTTGCGGACATTGGGTTGTTACAATGTACGACAGGTCCCGGTGTGGCTTTTCGCCCGAAACCACCGGGACCTGCACGGGCCACTGGTGGGTTCAGGCAGTGCTGCCTTTCCACAACATGTCCATTGATGTCCTATTTGGTGCAAGGGCATGGTTTACCGCAAAGTACCTCAATAATATGTTGTTAATATCTTCGAGCATTTCACTTCTGTGATCAAAAAAGGATCAACATACGACGGGGATGGACCAAGTGTGACCTGTGCTCATACTGCTCTTGAATACACTGAGCAGCCTTTAAGGACAGCATCTCAATCTATAGCGTCAAGCCCATCTTCGCCGCGCTTTTGGGCGCATGTGCCCTGCTGGGAAAGACTTTTGGAGACCTCTTGCTGTTGCATCCGAGGGCGTTGCTCCACCCATGGTACGATTCACACCAGCATGTGGTGTAGGGTGTGAGATAGACACTGTCATTTAATTACTTGCTGTACTTATTATTAGTATTATATGTTTATATACAATATATATAATATATATATATATATATTTAATATTATAATATATAGATATATTAATACAATAGATAGTTGTGTAGTCAAGGAAAGGCGATGTCCTACTGCCTGGAGTCCTTGAAGTAAAAACATGAGTAGTAGGGTCTTTGCATGCCCTGCTCTCCCACCTCCAAGCTTCATGCGCGGTCGGAAGTTGAAAGATTTGTTGACCATTTCGTTGATTTAATCTCATGCACCACGTTTATGCAACTCACGCTTCGTTGTATATCCTACTCCTGAAAACACGCGTGGAAAACTCCTCCATACAATCAACAGCGACGTGCGAACCAATGAACCAGGTCCCTGTTGCATGCATTGTAATCGTAACTTGTGTCACACACGAAAAGAGGGGAAGACGCAGGATCCTTGTCAAGCTCACATTTTCAGAGGTGGAAGAGATAGGCAAGATCTTCAAAGCCTTTGGATCCTTTTAGTTTTGTTCTTGGTGTTGATTTTCATGCTCTCAATCCTGGCACAGCTCCAGGGGGATTTCAACAGGCCGCATTTAGCACGCAGGTGTCTTAGGCGAGCCCTTGACGTGCATCCATGCGATTGCAACAGGACGGAGGGGAGTGCTGGATTGAGTTCTGATGGATGGATGAAAGGAAGAGATGTGCTGATGAGCCGCTGAAGAATCACACAGAACAGAAACAACTTAAAGGCTAAATGATAACACAAAAGAAGCACAGGTTTTTGTATTTTGTACCGTCACGCTCTCAGAGACAAGATCAATTAAACTAACCATTGTCAAGAAAGTTAAGAAGGAGAGATGTGGAAGATGCTTTGCAGGTCTATCGCTTTGTGGTTGCATCTTGGTGGCGAAGGAGGAGCACGGAGCATCCAAATCCAAGCATGCGGCAGACCTATATTTGGCTCCTTGCTTGCACAGAGATTGCGAGTTCAGCTGACAACGCATGAGACCTGATAACGCGCGTGTGTGATCGTGTGTGTGTGTGCCGAAAACCTTGCAGTGGAGGTGGTCCCCACAATCTGACCAAGCCAGTTGTGAGCGATCTCCTTCCTGCTGCGATTGCATAATATAGCATAGTCTTGCTGCAAAAGACATTAATTAGGCCATAGACATTTGCCTGGGAGGCATGCACACTTGGAAGTTCCAACAAGCCTGTAGGTATTCACAACCCTATATTTATATACATGGCTGTCGCAATAGCAGTATACTTTGCGGTTTGGCCTATTTCAGGATCCAGTCATTGCCGTGGTGCTGCTCCTTTTGGCTGCCCTCATGGCCGCTGGCACCACCATCACCACGCGAAAAGTCATGGCAGGAACAGCGCTGAAAGCCGAAGTGCCTGTGTGATTCAGCTGAAGTGCTGAAACCAGCGGGTCGGGAACCTTCTGGGTCAGCAGAGTCCCCCCTCAAAAAAGGGGCAAGATGGCAAAGACTTACCGTAGAGTCGATGGTTCCGCATTGCGGAAGCTTGTATACCCAAGAAGTCTCATTCTATGACTGTATAGAGGAGGAGCATGAGATGGCACTTCGCTGGCGAAACCTGACCCTCTTGAAAACGGGCGCTGTTTTAAGGTGGTACTTTTGTTTCATGGACCTCCTCCTGCTGGGCATCGCGACTCCATTTGTGTACGGCACCTCATTTGGAAAGCGATCTGGAGACATTAGCTGGCAGCATTTGGTCGCCCTCGCAGGCGCCCGGCGAGTCCCAGGGTGAAAACATTCGATGGCGGCGCTGAACGGAAACGTCCCAGGTAAGGTGACGGACATTGACAACTGACCCAAATTGCCAGATGTTCATATGTGTTTCCGCCTGACATTACAATAGAAAAATGCAAATGCAAAGATGTTAAGATCCACTTCTCGAACCTCACCTCGTGGCTTATCTCATCCTGCAACAAGCATTTCAGCACCTGGAAGAACAGGCGTCGCGATTTGCTCCGTCTTGGGGCAGCAACTTTTTACCTTGGGCTTGCGGCACATCCCTTCGGCCTTGTCTACCTTGCTTTTGCAGATGGAGACAGTGGATGCGTTCATCCTTCAAATCGTTTTCGTGGGCAAGGTTGGCCCTATGAGCCTCGTGGGCGCTTCTTTAATTTGCATCTGGGATGACAGGGATGAAACTTGATATGTTCACCATTTGTGAACATTGAAGCAGTACTGTGTATTTAATATGCACAGTAGGAAAATAGCGGATGTTAACATCTAATCCAAGTACTTGTATATTCCATCATCCACTGTCGTGACCATTTGGCCCCAAGTATCGCTGATCTCGGATTCGTTTGGATGCAAGAGCCAGCCGACAGGCCGAACGAAGTTAGCTTTGGCTAACAAGTCGTGAGTGGCCCTGCGGGATTACCTGCACCGGGTTCCCACGTGGGGGTCCGGCTAGACCCTGCTTGCCTAACATTTATGTTATCTAAAATGCATTGCTCCTGCCGCAATGCATTTTTTGCACCATCAATGAGCTCAAAATTGCGCCCACCAGAAACCACAAACACAACTATAGGTTAGCCTGGTTTATGCCCCTTCGCATCCGACTGCCGGGGAGAAGGCTTCCAGCGAAAACAGAAGGGCCAAATGCCAAATATCGGTGTGTTCGGTCCTTTGCACGATGGACAAACACACTGTGTGTCTTTCTAGCGTTTTTTGCATAACAAAATGTTCACTTTTTTGTGTGACTTGCTCGTAAGTCGTAAGGGTGCCCCGCTTCCTTCGGCTTCAGATGGCCCCAAGGTGCGAGTTGTTCCGCCCAAGTTTCCTACTACTACTACTACTACTACTACTACTACTACTACAACACTACTACTACTACTACTACTACTACTACTACTACTTCTTGTACTACTACTACTACTACCACCACCACCACCACCACAATCACCACAACAACAACAACAGCAACAACAACAACAAGAAGAACAAGGACAAGTCTCATTTGTTTGCCCCTGTCGCCTGCCACTGAACCCCCTGCTGGCCCGCTGTTGGGTGTGAGCCTCTTAAATCTCTTCCAGCAGCCTGGCAGAGGAGCAGACCAGCACACCAGCAACAAAAACAGCAGCAGACCAATCAAGTTGACATTCTCTCACACCACCAGGTCTGGTGATTCTTTGGGTGGCTTTTATGGGTCCTAACAATAGAAGCCGTTGTGGGACCGTCCCAAATTTCACGTTGGTGTCCAACTAGCTTTCGTTCTTTGTTTCAGGTTAGGCCAAAGGACAAAATGCTCACGACTGCTGACGCCCAGGTATTGGAACTGCTTCACTGGCCCTGTTTGAGTTGCGCAGCTCGGTTGAAGCCCCAACGTGTTCAACAGGGGGTTGAGTTTGGGAACCCGAAAAGACCAAATTCTAAACCCAATAAATTACCGCAAAAAATGCCCGAAGACAAAAACAAAGAACCCCAAAAACAAGGTTTGACGCTGAGCTTGGATGTTATCTCAAATTTGCTAATTTATTGTAGTTTGTTTGGATGTTTGTTTAGGCTTTTCGTTTGTTTGCATGTGTGTGTGTGTGTGTGAAACCCTTGGAGCCACTTCGAATTCCGTAGATATTTTACTTTCAGCAGGGGGGCTGGAGTGATATAGCTCTGGGACGCCAGAACTACGTACCTGCTTCTTCTCGAACTGTTGCTCAAGCTGTGACCCCACTTTTCAGTAAAGAACTAATGCACTCTGCAGTCACGCACTCGTCGTTCGAGCCGATCGAATCTTCAGAGCTTTGGGACTTCGGCCTCCTAACTACAAGCGATGGCCATTTGGACTTTGAGGTGGTCAGATCGCATCGCATGTCACCTATTTTACCCAGGCAATTTTCGCTTAGGCTTCTTCAGGGTTTGGGGCGATCAATTCAGCGCGCAATATCTCGAGTGTGTGTGTGTGTGTCCACCCCTGGACAAAGGGTCTTCCGCCACCACTCTTTCCATGCTTTTCACCTACCTTGGACAACCACTTTACATGAGCAGGGGGGCATGGCAGCTGTTTCCCTAGCCATGCCAACGAAGCTATGGGATTCAGCCGGAAGGGAATGTGGACGCACATTCCTGTACCTGCACTTACAACTGTTGATCACGCTGTCCAATCTTCCTTTTTTGTTTCCATGGTGATTCATGATACCTCCCACAAACCCACTCTTCCCCAGCAGCTGAGCCGCCGATCGTCCGCAGATGTGCAGCGTTTGTTCAGCAGAACGAGAGAAACTACGTTAAACATTTCAAGTGATCTGACCCAATCACCATGCCGTTCCACCGCCATCCTTCCCATCGTGGAAATTGAGTCACTGAATACAAGTGTCAGAGTGTGTTTCGCTCAGCCGTCCCACTCGGGTGCTGAGTGTGATCCCCGTCACAGGGGCGCCGTTTTTGCATGGGAAAGCAACCACCCCAACGCACCACCACTCACTGGACTCTCACAGGAAGGCACCGACACCCTCACCGAATCAACTGACAAACCGGCCGCGCCATACGCTCACGCCACGCCACCACCATTACCTACCACACAACCGCAACCCACATGGCCGCTGCCACAGCCATCAACCGCACCCACCTTTCCCACGACACCACCATCGGCATACCCTCACCCACAACCACAACCATTTCAACCACCACCTTTTTTGTCCAATCCTACCGCCACTGCACTGACCTACGGCACACCATCCACTTGGACTTTTGTGCAACCATGTCACATGCCACCACAGCCCACACATCCAACTCCAGTTTTTCCGTCAGCAGCACCTCCCCCTTCATACATGTTGCCACCACTTCATCCCACACCACCGGCTGAACTTCCTCCCCCCACCACACTGACACATCCCCTTCCAACACAGCAACAGCCCGCGGTTGCCAATCATCCATCCACAGACCCACAATGCGCCACCCCCCAGGGCATTTGGCAACCCTGTTCAGCCTTTCCCCCAGTCACACAACCTCCATCCCAACCATTGCCCCCACCACCACCTCCACAAACCATCAACGCCTCACCACCAGTCCAGCCTCCACTCCCACACCAGACGCCATCCGATCCAGCACCACCAATCCAACACATCCCCACAACCGCCACGGACGCTCCATTGCCGGTCCAAAACACGACCCCTCCAGCTACTGTATCCCAACATTCTGCATCACCATCACTTGCATCAGCCACACCAGCACCCGGACCTTCACTGCCTGCACCAGACAAGCCTGACACCACTGTCTCACCAGCACCACCACCACCTTCCCCGCAACCACCACACAGCAGTCGCCGCCACCACCACAAGAACCGACACAAGTCCGACCATCACCGCAGAGGACGCCACCGCCACCGCCGCCGACATCGACATCACCACCACTCCAAGCACCACAGCACAACCCGGCGACGGCGTTCGCCCTCGACATCCACTTACACATCCAGTCTTACACCATCCCGCAGTCGCTCACCACCACAACCCATCGATTTACGCCCCAACACTGAACACACCAACCCAGACCCCTCTCAATTTCCCACCACAGCCGTCCTTCGTCGCCCAATCAACCGTTGGCAACCTCCACCCAACTTTCACACCTTTACACCTACAGACCAAATCCTGGAATGGCTTGAATTCCACGCCACCCAACTCGACAACCCCAACCGACCACAACACCAGTACATTGCCAATCTCCTCACAGATTGCAACATCACCTACAAGGAGATCACCGATTTCCGGCAATATACTCACGCCAAGTGGAACGACACAACTCACCAATACGACCAATTCCAATACTACGCCATTTCACTTCCCTTCCTCAACACCAAAGCCACTACACCAGAACCACCTGCGGTTTCCCGAGCCACATCAACCCACCGGGAAGTCGCCCACATCAACGCAGGCCACACGGGCCCTGTCGGCAACATTTCCAACATTCTACGCCAAGGCCGATTTTTACCCAGCACACTCCACTTTGCCAACTACCCTGGATTTTTTTGCCCAGGGCGTTCGCATCACCCACAACCAACCCCATGACCACAACGAATTTGCCCGCATCATCCACAACACCTGGCAACTCCACAAGAACTCCCATTCCCTTATCATCACACTCCTTGCTTGGGGTGCTGCCACAAAATATACATCCGGAGGTGAGGAACACGCCATGAACCTCCTTAACGATCACCATGGTGCAGTCTTCCATCAGAAGGGCCGCTGCTGGGTGATCCACCCGGACCACGCCATTGTCAAAGGACTGGCCTGGTCCACAAACTCCACTCCACCAGACACATAACACCACTGTCAAACACCTCCACGCCACTACCACCTCCACCTCCACCTTCCGTCTCACACCACCACATAACCTTTGCTTATAGCAGCCAAAAAGAGCCTCCTGCAGCGACCACGCGAATTCTGAACCCTCAATTTTTCAAGCTCTGCAGGTTTTGCTTTCAACATCTTTTTCCGAATCGTACCAGCTGTTTTGATGGAGTATTTCACATGTCTGAGTTTCATGCACTTGATTGTTCAATCGGACTTGCATTTTCGCACCATGCCCGCGGGAATTTGATGCTCGTTTAATTCATATGCACGGCCACGTGATGACGCGCCCCCGCAGATCAGCTGATGTCCTGCTGCTTTGGCGCGCTGCCGCAGCAACCTGTGACGACTCTGTGCTACTGTACATCCCTACATCTCCAAGTCATGAGCAATACACTGACACCTCTACACAACGACACCTCAACTCTCCTACACAGAACCACAGTGGTACTTTCGCAGGTGCAAAACCTGCTCAGACAAGCAACAGATATTGTAGCACACCTTCACACACACTTCCTCCACCACATCCACCAAGCGGATCCCACTTTCCGCCAACACTTTCAGCCACTCCCAACTCCGCCTATCCACCCTATACGTTTACCATCCACCACCTCCTCCTGTGACTCAGCACCATCCCGACTACCCATCCGTTTACCAGCACCACTCTCAAAAGACTCCGACGACACACCAACAACATCCCCAGCTCCACAACCTACCACAACACGCAAGCGGAAGCAACCACCCCCACCACCACTTAACCAACAAGCGGACTGGGACGCGTGGGACGGCGATGCCGATTGTCGCCTGGTCGAACTCAAAGAAAACCCCAGACTTCGTCCCAACTGGGCCACTGTGGCTCGCCGACTGAGCTTCTCAGTCCAGCAATGTCAAGCCCGATGGCAAGAACTCAAAGACATGCAACGTCAGCAAGACCAGCAACTTTCCTCCACATCACTACCAACAGACCCACCACGACAAGCCCCTTCCCTCTCACCAACACCCACCTCACCAGCAGTTTCCCCAGCACCACATTCACAACCGGATTTTTCCCCTTCCCCCAAAACAACGCCACCGGCTTCACCACATCGATCACCTCCGGCTGCTGTGCTGCTGCCGCCGGCTGCTGAGCGAGCGCCTAGTGAGAACAGCCATCCGGAGAAATCTCCACTTGCGCCCGTCGGCAGTTATTTCATATGATCAGTTTCACCCAGCTTTCTCTACGGCGTGCCGCAGGACAAATCTACTACCATGCACTGACAAGTTGTTTTTCACGCCCGGTCTACGTTCACCATTTTGGACAACTTTTTTTTTTCAGGCTCACTCTAGCTCCGCAGCTTTTTGTGTGCCACTTTGTCCTGCTTTCTTGTACCACTAGTTATGGCCAATCCTCGCGCTCGCCCCCATGGCAACACCGCCAACACAGAACACTACCTGCCACAGCGCCCTCCGAGCTGGCTCCAACCTTCGATTTGCACTCAGCCTGACTTTCAATCCCTCAACAGCTCCTTGGACCTTCTCTTTATGGTCAACCAACACCTCCGCCACCACCCATTTCACACTGAACCTATGCCAAGCCAGACGTATTTTCAGGACCAGAGAGCATACAACCTCCTCTACCGAATGCGCGGTGACCTGATCTTGCTGGACCGCCTGATTGACAGCCTCTCCCAGGCTCGTCGGCTCCTTCAATTTGTTACCACCGGCCCAGGCCTCCCAGGGCAATACCGCATCAACCCCACAGCCTCACTCTCCAGCAGAAACCTGGCCATTCTACACGACATACCGCCAGGTTTTCCACTACCACCCGGACTTTCCAGCCGTTCACCCTCTCCCTCACCACGTACCCCACCACAAGACGCAGAACGTCTACACTCTTACTGGACAGGTCCCCCACCCCAAGCCACCCCGGCCACCAACATCAACACTGCCACTCACACCAGAGAACGTTCACGGTCCCGCGACAACCTCTCACATCGCAGTGGCTAATTACAACATCGAGCGCTGCAGCAACATCCAAACTCCA